AGCCCCAGGGCAACGAGCCGTCCCTGTGGGGAGAAGGAGGCGGTGGAGGAGGGCTGAGGCCAGGCAGATGGGACAGCACAAGCCAGGGGAGCTGCTTCCACAGCCTGAGGACATTGCCTCGTCCCCTGAGCAGACCGAAGGCCCTGCGAAAGTGGCCTGGGGAAAGACTGGCCCAGGGCCTTGCTGCGGTCGTGCTACCCCAGGGCCAGGCAGGTTCCAGCTCCACGAGATGGGGAACGGGGCAGGCCTGCGCCCCCAGCGTGTGCACAGCATCCTGGGCAGGGGCATTCGGCAGCTCGGCCACGTCTGGGGTAAGGCTGCTGGGTGCCCCAGGCCCATGCAACCCAACATACGTGGCCTCTCTGCCCTGTGTCCCCTGCGCCACCCTCCCCACTTACCCCGGATGGTGCCACCTGCCCCGTGTCCCCAGCTGCCCCTACCCACCCGTCCAGGCGGCTGTAGCTGGCCTGCAGCCCGATGCCCCGTGCCCACTCCACCAGCTTCCTCTTGACCAGGGACGACTGGCTGAAGGCGGCTTTGAGCTTCTCCTCCATCTTCTCCCACACGCGGGGCACAGCGAACAAGATTGTGGGGCGCACCTCCTTCAGTGTGGGGACCAGGGAGCCCTGGGCCCACACAGCAGGCAGGGTCAAGGGAAAGGGGCACGGGTTGGCGGGTGCTGGCAGCCCACACACCCACAGGCAAAGCCGGCACCCCTCCCCTGGGGACATCCCTCTGTGCCCCTGGCCATGGCAAGCAGCTGTGCTCTGCAAGGGCTGGACCCTAGTGTGCTCCCTGCCCTGTCCGGGGTTGCAGCTCTGCACTGATCCCTGGGAACCCTGGAAGCAGGGAGCATGTCGCCAGCTGTCCCACAAGATCCATGGGCGGACAACGGGTGATGTGCATCTTGCCCCACGAAGCAGCTCGGCTGTATCCCAGCACAGCTGCTCTGCTTCACTCCCTAATGTCTGTTTCTGGCCTGAGCCCAGCAGACCCTAATTAGGGGGCAGGGATGAACCAGGCTTTAACCATCAGGCAGCCAACCACCCCAGAGCCCCGCGACCCCTGCAACCAGCACGCAGGGTAGGAGCACGTTTGTGTGCTGGGTTTTCCTTCCCTGCAGACACAGGAGCTGCCGCTGTGTCACCAGTCGCACCTCCGAGCACAGCGGGGAAATGAGGGCAATGGGGTGAGGAGCGACATCCCAGAGGGGCTCCAGTCCCCAGGTGCAGGCGCGAAGTGTGGCCCGGTGGAGCTCGGGGAGGAGAAGGCCCCGACTGGGGGGATGGCAGGGACGAGAGGAGGGGGCAGCTGGCCAGAAAGGAGGGAGGGGGAGATGGGGGGCGCGAGGAGACCTGGGCTGAGAAGGGCCGAGGAAGGATCCCGAGAGAAGGGAGAATGCGGTGGCCGGGCACAGGAGGAAGTGGGCATGGGAGCGGACCCGGAGCGGTGCCGCCACCCACGGGCGGTGGAACGTCGTAAGGACAAGGTGGTATTTACGGGGATCAGGTGGAGTGGGCACGCGGCAGGCCCAGAAACCAGAGGGCTGCACGGTCTGCTGGCAGCGAAGCCCGGGACACTGCCCTGAGGCCAGCGGGGATGTGACGGGAGCGGGCAAGAAACTGCTGCCTGTTCCTGACACTGGAATCGAGGCGGCTGCCTCCGACCCTGCTGGGAATGTCACAAGGACGTGGCAGATGCCTGGGAGCACTGGGGCTGTCAGTGTTATGTGCTCCTCCTTAATCAAAGCAGCGCTTCACCACTGACCTGAAGCTCGACAGTCAAGGATCGTGGAAGGTGGACCGAAATGGCAATGCAGCGATAGGCAAGAGAAAGGGATAGTACCTAGCGCTGTGTATGCATGCGTTAGTCTGTGACTGGAGGGTTCATACAAGCGTGTCTGTAGGAAGAGGCAGGTTTTTGGGGGAGGTCTGGATACATGTGCCCTGGCATAGTCCCGGTTGGTTGCACTGATGGTGAATAAGGCTCTTTTTTTCTGTTTGGTTTCTTTTCCTTTCTGGTGAACCAGCAGCAGTGGGGCTGGAGAAGCGTCCCTGGGGTCTGGAGCGATACTCCTGGCAAGGACCAGGCTGAGCCGAGCCAGGGAAGACGCAGGGTAGCAAACGAACTGTTGGTCACTTGGAGGCAGAGAAGGAGCAGCCAGACAGGAACAGCTGAACTATCCCCACACCAACACCAGGGGCTGGGCAACAAGAGGGAGGAGCTGGAACTGCTCGGGGGACCCCAGAAACGTGGTGGGATGGGAGTCCTGGCTGGATCACGGGTGCTGGAGGGGACAAGCTGCTAAGGAAAGGGAAATGAGAACGAAGCGGGTGGCTGGCGCTGCGCGTCGGTGGTGTGGTGAATGCAACGAATGTCCAGCTGGGAGGAGGCATCGAGTGGGGCTCCCAGGGTCTGGCCAGGCTCTGGTGTTGTTCAACATCTTCCTTATTGATTTAGAGGATGGGGTTGAGGGCACAATTAGGAAAATTTGCAGTGAGCACCAAGCCGGGTGCCAGGGCAAACGCTCTGGAGGGCAGAGCTAGGATCCAGAGTGACCCGCACAGACTGGAGAAACGGTCCAAAAACTAATCAGATGAGCTTGCACAAGAACAAGTGCCAAGTCCTGCACCGGGGACAGAATAACGGCGTGCACACATACAGCCTGGGGAACAATGGGCCAGGCTGCTGTACTGCAGGGAAGGACTGGGGGTGACAGTGCACCATCAGCTGAATATGACCCAACAGTGCACTCGTCGTGCAAATTAACACCAACAGCACCGGGGTGGCAGGAACAGGAGCGCCACTTGCAGATCAAGGGGGGTGATTCTCCGCTCCGCTCGGCACTGGGGAGGCCTCGCCTGCAGTGCTGCGTCCAGCCTTGGGCCTCGCAGTCAAGGGTCCATGAAGAGCAGACAACTGGGTTGACCAGGAAAGACAGAGGCAGAGAAAGAGGCAGAGAGAGGCCTTGCAGAGTCCGGGAAGTCTGGGGTGAAGTGAAGCGAGGATGGCCGGAGGCTTGGCCGACTTGGGCCTTTCCAAGGAAACTAAATCAAGCAGCACAAGTTTCTCCAGGCACACGGCCAAGCAGGGGACCAGCAGGGAAGAAGAGGGGCCATCGCCCCCGTCTTGATGGCTGGAGAAAGTGGCAGTGACGGTCAGGGACGGGAGGAGCCGGGTAGCGAAAGGGCAGCACGGGCTCGCAGGGGAATGAGCACGGACTGGTCAGGAACAAACTGAACCCGGAGACGGGAAGGCTTCTAGGCATTAGAGGAGTGACGCTGTGCAACGGGGTCTGAGCACGGCAGGTCTGGGCAAGGCACGACCGGCTTCAGGAAGGATATTGCGCAGTTGTGGAAGGGGCAGCGGGAGAGCAAGGGCTGATCTGGGGGCAGGCATCAGATTGGGACGCAGAGGTTGGACTAGGTGCCGTCCTCGTGGCAGGGCAGGAGGGGAAAGCGCTGTCTGCGGGGGTCTGGCCATGCCGGGCTTCAGGGCTCCTGTGGGTGCCTCAGGGGCCGGGAAGGAATTTCCCCCAGGACGGCTTCAGCTGGCTTGTCGCCCGCCCTGCATTCACCGCCCCGGACACTGGCCACGGCTGCAGGAGGGGCCGGTCCGGGTGGCGCCTGTGGGTCCTGGGGGAGGCGCCCAGCCCCAGCGCCTGGCCCTGAGCCAGAGGCTTTGCTGGAAAGGGGGCCTGGCAGCACGCCAGTAGGGTGGGCACCCCCAGGGCAGCGTGGCTGCGGGTGACGCAGGGGTGGGAGCAGGGACTTCCCAGGCAGCAGCGGGTCACCTCCCTGGAGCTGCTGGTGAGCCCTGCGGCTTTGCCTGGGCAGAGACCGGCTGAGAGGTCGGACACGGGCTCCTGTCGCTGTGCCCACCGCCCCCAGCCCCCTTCCTCCACCACCCCCAGACTGGTGCCCGTTACCTTGAGGGCGTCGGGCTGCGCAAAGAAGATGGTGCCTGCCACAGACATTGCTACCCAGATGTCTCCGCACTGCGCGGCAACGTGGCTCAGGGGCAGGTAGCTGAGGACCACCTCGTGACCCTGGAGCCCCAGCACCTCCTTCAACATTCGGACCTGCCACGTCACCTGCAGCGATCAGGACATCACTCGCTACCCGCCCAACACCAGCGCCAGACCATGGCCCCTGCCCAACCCACAAGGGCTGGCGTGCTGCGTGGCCTATGTGCCACGTGGCATGACCAGGAGAGTCCAGGCTGGCAGGGCAGACTGGGTCCAAGCAACGCGTGGGTCTGCTCTTGGGGCACAGCCAGCTCCCATCCCACCCCGGTCCCCCGGCAGCTGCAGCCTGGCCCGTCGCATCCCTGCGCACCTCCCTGGCCCCGGCTCCCACACCCGGCTGGCACTGGGGCATCTCGCAGCAGCGGGCCTCCCACTCCCTGCCTCCCCCAGTGTGGCCCTTCCTGGTGACAGCAGCCTGGGGTGGGGTCTGGGGGTGCTGCAGCAGCGGGATCGCTGGGCAAGCTCCTCTCTCGGGGCTGCTGGCTGCTCCTGAGTGAGCTGCAGCCGGGGTGCTCAGGGGAGAGGCAGGACCATGACGTGGGGCCCCCGTAGCCTGGGGAGTGGGCCTCGGATGTCACTCACCGGGGGCAAGGCCTGGCCTTCTTCCATACCGCCCCGGGCATCCAGCGAGAGTGAGGGGAACAAAACCCTGGCAGAGGCAACGTCCAGCCCAGCGCCACCCTTCCTTCACAACCTCCTTCCCCCAGCCCTCCCAGCACGGGGCAGGGGCTGGCAGAGGCACTCACGTTGTCGTGGCTGAGCATGACGCCCTTGGGCGTGCCCGTGGTGCCCGAGGTGTAGATCAGGAGGCAGCAGTGGTTCACGCACTGGGAGCGGATGATGGAGTCCAGCTGCGAGTCGGGCACGGTCCTCCCCAGCTCCATGAACTCCTCCCACTGCCAGGGAACGGGTCAGCCAGGATCAGGCCATGGTGGAGGAGAGGTGGAAAGGAGCGCTGCCCCCTGCCAGCAGGTGCCGTGGGAATGGTGCTGGTGCTGGAGCAGGAGCAGGGGGCAGGGCGGGCTCCCCGCAGCAGGACCACGAAGGGCCCCCAGGGGACGAGCCCTCAGAGGGGCCAGACCTGCAACGAGGCAGGGCCGTGGGCCTGGGGAGAGATCAACCACTGGGTCTGTGCTGTGGAGGACACAGGCACTACGGGACGGTGGGCGGTGCTGGGTGGGTGCCGGATGGATCCCAGGTCCACGGGAGGTGCTCCCCCACCATGACAGGCCCGTACCGTGTACACGTTGGGTCTCTTCTCCTCCAGCGGGTCGCGGTACTGGACGATGGCCTTGAGGTGGGGCAGCTGCTGCTGCACCTGTGGGGACACGGGGACAATGCAGCTGCCTCAGGGGGAGGAGAGCCCCTCATGGCACCCCATCCCAGCGCCGGGTGCCCTGTGGTAGGGGCGGCACGTGGGGGTAGATAAGAGCCTGCGGTGGTGTAAGGGTGACACTGAGGATAGCCCAGGACAGGAACGGCCGTGCCATGGGGCTGAGGGGAGGGCAAGGGGACAGGGCGTCATAGGAAATGGGAGAGCGAGGACGCCAGGGAGATGAGCCTGGTGGGGCTGGGGTCCAGGAGCCGGGGAGGACTGTGCATGGGGAGCAGGAGAGACACAAACCCCTTGGGGTGAGAAGGGCAGGGACGGGTCATCCCTGTGGGATGAGGAGAAGAAAGTAGAAGGATTGTGGGTTAGGATACATGGAGGTCAGGGGGAAAGGGATTTGGTGGTAGGGGTCTGCTGCAGACCCCCACACCGAGGGGAAGAACTAGATTCGGGGCTCCTGAGGCAGCTCTCGGAGACCATAAGGACTACGGAGGCGGTAGTCATGGGGGACCTAAACTACCCGGACATGTGCTGGGAGATGCAGACGGCAAAGTCCCACCTCTCACGCAGGTTCCTGTCCCGTGTGCAGGACCTCCACCTGACGCAGGAGGTACAGGGTCCCACTGGGGGGAAGGCCTTACTGGACTGGTACTGGCAACGGGGGAGGACATGGCAGGGGACCTAGAGATCGGTGGTCACCTGGGGGACAGTGACCCCCAAATTCTAGAATTCACCATAAGGCGTCGAGTGGGAAAGGTAACTAGCAGGGTGGAAGTGCTGGACTCGAGGAAGGCTGACTTCAGCGAGCTCAGGCGTTTAGTCAACGACGCGCTGCAGAGTAAGAGATTTGGCGAGATGGGAGCCCAGGAAGGGTGGATGTGCCTTGAGGAAGCAATCCTTCGGGCACAGAGGGAGACAATCCCGATGTGGGGGACAATGGAGAAAGGGGCCAAGAGGCTTCCTTGGCTAACCAGAGAAATCCAGAGCAGCCTAAGGGCAAAAAGGGGGGCATATAAGCAGTGGAAACAGGGAGAGATTACCAAAGAGGAGTATGGCTCCTCACCTTGCAGTTGTAGGGAGTCAGTTAGACGGGCCAAAGCTACCGTGGAGCTGAGGGGCACGACAAGTCTCTCACTGGGGTTGCAGAGAGGCAGCAGCAAGGCGCCAGACTGCCATGCGTAGACCCGGAGATGGTGCAGAGGCACTTGGAGGAACTGGATGCGTTTAAGGGGGCAGGCCCGGATGAGCTCCATCCCAGGGTGCTGAAGGCACTGGCCGACGTCATTGCACACCCACTGGTGGGAATATTTGAGCGCTCGTGGGGCACGGACCGGGTCACGGAGGACTGGAAAAGGGCCAGTGTGGTCCCCATTTTCAAGAAGGGGAGGAAGGAGGACCCGGGCAACTATAGGCCAGTCCCTTGGCGGGGGAGGGGGAGGGAAAAGCCCCGCTCACCGGCCCAGGTAGCCAGGGATGGTTTTTTAGATTGGTCAGCTTGTGGCCAGCACTGGCAGCTTCGATTGGACCGGGCTGCTGGGGTCAGGGAGGTTATTTAAGG